GTGTGTGTGTGTGTGTGTGTGTGTGTGTGTGTGTGTGTGTGTGTGTGAAGTCAGGTCATGACTGTGACTCTGTAATTGACACACTCTTATCTTTTAATTGAAAATGTTGATTCTATTGGTTTGCTTCGAACACAGCTGAGAAAAAAATACCTCTTCGGTAATTAATCTGAGGGGCAGAAAATAAACGCATTTCACGGATCAATGTTTACATTTCACTCCCTGCCACACGCGCATTTCACCCAGCAAAAAGCATACACACACGCCGCGATACGACTGTCAGTTACTCTAAAGTCAAACAGCCAAACACCAACACTCACAGTTCATAACATAACCTCCATTCCAAAATGTTCATTTGGGCAGTAACAGGCATAAAATGTATCTATTAAACAAAAACAAACTCACTTTAAAGGAAGCAATCATAAATAAGCAGACACTCACCCCTCGAGACGCACATCCGGTAAAGATCGGTTGAGTGCAATCATCTCGCTGGCCATCAGGTTAAACTGGTTAATCTTAAACATTTCCTTCATCCTCTCCTGTTGGTCTTTAGCGATGACCACTGGCTTTCCCATCTCCCCTGGGCCGTCATGAGGCCTTTGAACCACAGCTGGAACACAAACACACATGAAGTCAAGATTGTTCCCTTGGCTTTTGATTGAGTCCATATGGGCGTTTCTCCAACTATGGCCACTTTGGGCCCTGTGGACTTTTAGAAAATAAACCCATCATGCTCTCACTAGTTTATTTAATCTGTCCAAAAGTGGATATACACACATCACAAGAGAATTCTGTTATGTTTGGCATTTTTAAATGAAAAACCACAACACAACAGTAGCATTTCCACCACATCTCAAATGATGTATTCTGTGATGAGAATGAATTCTTTTTAAGGCTAATTTACACAGCTCACATTTTATGTAACATAAATACACACAATAAAATAATATTGTCATACTTTTTGCAAAATTGGAAGAGGCACAATAAAAATATTCTGTATATTTTTACATATCACATTTCATATTCATCCCAGTCATGCTCTTCAGTGACACTGTGCTCTCCTTGGCAAAATAGCTCTAAAATTGTTCAGAATGGTGAAAATGCCACCACAAATGTGTGAAATACCATAAAAACGTTTATATACATCCTGCCCACTAAAAAGAATTTGTGGCCTAGATGTCTGTGCACAATTGTTCATTGTGCCATGTGTGTGTGAAGTGTGTTTTTGTGGATTTTGAGTGGGTAGATAAGCACTGAGCTTTGATCATTAATAACTCAAAAAGCATGCTTTGGTGAGATTAAGGTCAGATTTGCACAGTGTGAGAGATTACATCTGCTCTAAGAGGCAAACTGCCTGTTTTTAAGCCTTGTGCCGCGCGCGTGCGTACGCTGTGTGTATGTACGGGTGAGCCGCATGCATGTCGAGTGGGCAGGATTTAGCTGTTCAGACTGAGTGCATTACAAGGCAACATTGTCCTGTTTCCTTGCTCAGCAAAATCCAATGACTTTCCTCAAGGATTCTGGGGGTAAAAATCATATAATCATCGCTAAGGACACAAGCACAAGCAGCAGAAAATGTGCTTTATTAATATGGTGAGCAGATTATTTTAGGGTTACTGTTCTATATCTCATGGCCAAAGTAAAGCAGCTCTCCAGTGACCAAACCAAAGTGACCTGATCAGGGGGATAGAGAGGTCAGTTAGTGACAAAGAAATCTTTGTGAAAAATATGCTTTCACACTGCATCACCATCCACATACTTTTTCTCTGTGACTGTTCCTTCCAAGATCCAAGATCTTCTTTCTGCTCCGTTTTATAGTCTCTAAAGCAACGGTTCTCAACTGGTTTTGCTTTTAGATTCATATTTTACCTTTACCTTAAGACTAATCACAGTACTAAAACTGTTTAACATATAAAGGTAAACTAAAAATGTCTTTAAAATGATATATTGCTCTAGATTTCTCCATTCTTCCTCTAAGATAAGCTGCACAGCTGGAATGTGGTTGTATCCTTCAGATGATGTAGAGTCAATACAGCTCTAAAACTATGAGAGATTATATTTCTACACTCTTTACTTCTCTCACAGAAATAGACAGTTCAATACCTGCCCATATTTCACAATATAACACCATCAGACACACACATCCAATGGAAATAGTCTTCATCAGGAAAACATTTCAAAAGTAAAAATCCCAAAATGTGTCTAAAACTGAAATAAATAGAAGTGCTAGGACAGATTTATTATTAAAAACTACAGGATAACTATGTTATACAACAAAACTGTGTGCATGCGTGTACTCACTGTCTCTCCCTGGCAATCCTCTCTCTTTTTTGTCATCACATTTGTTGCATTCGCTGAAGTAGAGGAGGATGAACATGTCTACCATCACCCACACCAGAGAGGTGGCCAGCACCACCTTACAGTACGCAAACTTCCTCATCTTTACACCTGAAACACACACAAACACACACAGGGTGTTACACACAAACACGGGTACAAGCAAACACTTGAGAAGCTGCCAGCGATATTTTACACCTACAACCAGCAACCAGACACCGTGGGTTAAACCATACCGAAATCAGTTACAGCTTACTGTACGCCAGCTATAGTTTTAAACACCATACTCAAGCAACTCATATATTAATTCTATACAAGCCTTGAAGTTGTGAGTAATAGCTTACCGTAGATATGCCCGCTACCTGAAAAAGTTACAAACACAGACACTTTATCATCTTAACACCAAAATAAAGCACTACAGCTTTTCCAAAGAGACCTTAGAGTGGACATATTCTCACATCCTTTCCCCTGAAGTCCAGAGATAAAGTAATGGCTTCTTGCACCAAAAAGCCTCTCTGGCCCTTGGAAATAAATCTTGTAGAACAGCTTTAAGAAACAGTTCTGCTACCGTATCTTTATGACATATTTAAATGATCTCTGTCTGTTATGATTGGCTAAACTCTTTGCACGTGAAACAAGGATCAACATCACAGCCAAATTTCTAAACACTAAATAGCCTTCAATGTAATCATGAGCACATATAACACATAAACATATGTTAATGTATTCATGACAACAAAATTAATCATGAATGACCTATCTTTGCAGCTTAATTTCCATAAAAGGTCTTGGCGGACTGACTGGGAAGCTCTGCATTGTGAACACGAGTATTTCTCCATAGTACATCAAGCTTTTTTATATCAAAATTTTCGTGATTTTCCCTGACCTCTGTTAAGGGCAAACATCTCAAGCAATGAAAGGTGAATACTAATAAGACATTTGACTCTGGTAGTCTCACTATACCACATTAGCAGATGATTTGGAGTGATTATTCCAAAAACTGCTCAAACAGAACCTCAGATTTGACCGTTGACCTAACGGAGGGTGAAAATTCCATTCTTTAACAGGCTTTCTTTAATCCAGCCATCTGACTTTATTAATGAACTGGAAATGAATCTTTTATTAGCCAACTAGGAATGCAATGAGAAAAGAGGAGAGATGAGGAAGACATGAAAGGGAAGGAAGGATGATGTTCCTATGGGAGGTGAGCAGCGCGTGATACGCTTTGATAAAGGAGAGGTCATTATAACGTAATTACACTGCATCACGGATCACACGCTGAGGCTCCAGTGAATCGCTATGAAATCAGACAAGCCCTAAAAATTCAAAACCAATTTGTAGAACATAATCCTTCACTACAAATACTTCATTCACCCACAGCCCAGAGAGTAAATGTGTTGGTAAAAGTAAACTATAGGTCCAAAAGTATTACAGCAGACTCAGGAAAACATTTATTTATGTGGCATCCTATGACGGTTCCATTAAGGGATAGTTCACCCAAAAATGAATGTCATTCCAAATCTGTATGACATTCTTCTGTGGAAGACAAGATGTGATACTTTGAAGAAGGTTTCAAATGTTTAAATGAATGTCATCGGGGTTTAAAATAACACTGAACATTGAATGGACAGAAAAACCACTGGCATTTTCAAAATACCTTCTTTTGTCATCCACAGAAGAACGAACGTCTTGCAGGTTTGAAAAAAAGTTTATGTATTCCAGTCCATTACAGGCTCTTTGAGCAAGAGGCCGCCCAGCATGCTGCAGTTGACAAAAACAAACCTGAAAGCCTCTCCTCTGTGTCTCTCTATCCAGAAAGCCGTACCAAACTTCTGTCATTGTCCCTGTCCAACTGTACCTATAGAGATCTTTGAAGTGTGTTTGTGTGTGTCTCTTTGTGCCTAGCATAAGGGAAAGAGGGAATCTGCTTAGACAGCCATTTTTGAAGGGAATAGCAAGCCATCAAAAGACAAAAAGAAACACTGCCACTGTCATCCCGTCACTCTTCTTTATTTTCTGAGCCACCCAGACATCAACGCTAGAGTAACACACTTTTATATGATTCACCATATCTCAAAAACACTTTTAGGAAACAGCACCATTTGTGTAGTACGTGTGTCCCCGTGACTTGTTACTGATATAATTAACAGCATAGTCAACTTTTTTTAAGATCTAAGATGAATAATACATCCAAATGAATAATATTAATAAATATATTAAAATACTTTTTACTTTTTCATTGGAATATTATTCAACTTACATCACTCCTTTTATAACCATTACATTTACAATAAGCAATAAACAATAAAAAAGGCAGAATTCAACCTAAATGTTCTTAACAAGAAGTTACTATTGCCAATTTAAAAGGCTATAAAAACACTGGGGAAAAAATATATACATTCTTTTTATATATGTGTCTCTTAGGCTCACCAAGGCTGCCTTTTATTGTGAAATATCATTACATTTAAAATAACTATTTTCTACTTTAACATATTTGAAAAAGTAATTTATTCTTGTGATGGCAAAGCTGCATTTTCAACATTATTACTCCAGTGTCACATCCTTCATAAATCCTTTTAATATGCTGATATGGCACTCAAGAACCATTTCTTATTTTTTACAATGTTTCAAATCAGTTGTCTTGCTTAATATTTTTTGTGGAGACCATGATACATTTTTTTTCACAATAAATAGAAAATTCAAAAGAACAGTATTTATTTGAAACAGACTTTCAGAACAATATAAAAGTCACTTTTGATCCATTTAAAGCATCCTTGCTGTATTAAAGTATTCATTTGTTTAAAAAAATACTGACCCCAATCTTTTGAACAGTTATGCTGATGATACACGGGGCAACTTTTTGAGCAACGTTGCCGTCAACGGGCAACTAGGTGAGACACAGGGCCCACGACTGATCTAAAATATCCAGATAGAAATTTGTTACCCATTCTCAATAGGAAAGTGCCCAAGCAACATTGCTCAAACAAGTTGCCCAGCAAAACTGCTCAAAAAGTTGCCCTGTGCATCATCAGCCTTTTGTATATATACACAGACACGCATAACTAAATAAAATAGTTTTACAAAACACAATAGCACAGTTTCCTGAGAATGATCCGTACATCTACTGCAGCAGGAGCGTGAGAGTAATTACGTCCGATTGTCAGTGTCTGTGTGCTAATATACGCAGGTGCGACCATTAAGAGATATTTAAATGACATAAAATTGAATGTCAAACAGAACGGAGCAGTATGGTGCTAAAGCAGTCAAAAGCTTGCCAAAAACCTCTGGCATCTGATGTCTCTGAGGAGGTCTCACCAGCAGTCAGAGAGTGCGTGTGTGTTGAGCTCAAGGTTATGACTGGCACAGCGGTAACGCCACTGTTCTGGTGGCCCTCGTCCATCACAGTGGCATCGCCAAAGGCCCCTGCCCACGCCAGCTGGGCCAGGCATTCATCACCGTGACAACACACACACACCTGAGAGAGCACAGGCCTGAGAGATGAAAACAGACACACATATCCCTTGTGCATCGGCTCAAAATGGCAAAGTCTGAGAATGAGAGTGTTTATGTCATCTAGAAACCTAAGAGCACAGGACGGGTTACACAACAGGATGAAAATATGAATGCTGCCTACATGAGTGACTTAGAATATAGATATGACAGATATACACTCTCCTTTGGTGGAGGTATGTGTGTGTGCAGTAGGGTTGGGTATCGATTGGGTTTTTTACGATACCGGTGCCAAATCGATACTTTTAAAACGGTACCGGTGCCTAAACGGTGCCTGAACCGATACTTTAA